GTGGTGAGTTGATAACGGCACACCCAAATTGCATCGACTGTTGTCAGCTGGTATGGTTGTAACTGAATGACTTGAATTTCTCCTTTATGGTGGCAAACACTAGCCTGGAGTTGAATGTGTTCATGTTATGGTGCAGATATGGGAAATGGAGATAACATGTCTGTGCAAATTCTCAGTTATCTAGGTCGTAGTATGCTAAAAAAATTCTTTATCTGAACTGATGAAGCCTCTTCGATGAGAGGTAAAACGTCTTCTACCTAAAACTACGTCCACATGATTTCTTCTACATTTTTTTCCAGAAATGGAGATAACTTATTCTTTAACAATATTTGCTCAGCGTGTGTTTGGTGAATATACATGTGTGAATGGGCAGCCTAGGGGAAAACTAATTTTTATTTATATACAGCATTTGTTCTAGACTCTTTGGGCCCAGTTTTTTATTTATTTTTTACACATTATTTCACCAGCCTTAGAAAAAGGCCCATTCATATGGCCCAGATGATGCAGGACTACATAAATATCTGAGGGAGAGTTGGTACAGGTGAGGTTACACTGTCTTATGTGTCGTTCAGCAAGAAAAAAACAGAAATGCCAGCTGTATTGCACTCATACAACACAACCATAAATAAGGATTGCAAGAAATGATGACAGTGTAATATGCGTATGAATTACCTTGTCAGAAATTAAATCAGTGTTTTCATACAGGGGATAATTTCTGTTTGGTGATAATGCAATATAATACAATCATGCTGGTACTTTACATGGGTTTGTGCACAGCCTTCCAAGGCTTGGCGTTCAGCTTATCATCACTAGAGTCCAGTGCTTGGCCTGGGACAGGGTCCTGGTCTTCCTAATATGTGAGGAAAATTTCTACCAAAGTTGCCCCTTCTTAAAAGTATTTTGGATCCTTGTCAGGGAGCAGCTTACCTTGGATGTGCCTCCAAGGAGTTACTGCCCCCAACAACGTCGCTCCCAGGTCAACCACCACCTCCCACAGCACCATGTTTAGGTGCCACACCTTTGAGGCCACAGTTGAAGAGGTTAAAGATTTAGTGAGGAGCTCAGATGTATGAAAACTTTGTAATAAAATTGCTGCTCCTTAATTGTGAAAAACCATTTGAGGTGGCTCAGAAATGTCATTAGGATACCTCCTGAACACCTCACAGTAGAGGTATTGTAGGCACATCAAACTGGGGAGAGAGCCTGGACGTTGGAGGCGTATATACAGTGCCTTGCAATAGTATTCATACCCCTTGAATTATACCACATTTTGTCACATTACAACCACAAACGTAAATGTATTTTATTGGGATTTTATGCGACTTTGACTGGGCCATTCTAACACGTGAATATGCTTTGATCTGAACCATTCCATTGTAGCTCTAGCTGTATGTTTAGGGTCGTTGTACCGCTAGAAGGTGAACCTCCGCACCAGTCCTAAGTCTTTTGCAGCTTCTAACAGGTTTTCTTCCAGGATTGCCCTGTATTTAGCTCCATCCATTTTTCCATCAACTCTGACCAGCTTCCCTGTCCCTGCTGAAGAAAAGCATCCCCACAGCATGATGCTGCCACTACGTTTCACGGTGGGGATGGTGTGTTCAGGTTGATGTGCAGTGTTAGGTTTCTGCCACACATAGCGCTTTGCATGTAGACCAGAAAGTTCCATTTTGGTCTCATCTGACCAGAGCACCTTCATCCACGTTTGCTGTGTCCCTTACATGGCTTGTGGCAAACTGCAAACGGGACTTCTTATTGCTTTCTTTCAACAATGGCTTTCTTCTCGCCACTCTTCCATAGAAGCGAGATTTGTGGAGTACACGACTAATAGTTGTCCTGTGGACAGATTGTCCCACCTGAGCTG